TTCTGCAAGATTTTCGGCACCATGTCGCCGGAACATACATAGAACCTACGTAGGTGTTACAAGATGGTACTCCGCTACCGAATGCTCAGAGCACAGAGCATATTTAAACATGGTGATTGATTTATAGCAATGTGCAATATGATGATTTATAGCAATTTATAACAATACTAGCGATATCGCAAAGTTTGTTGAACGGATTTTACTAGAATAAGGCCGCGGGTTCAGCACTGTGGTTTGTCAACAAGACAGCGGTTCACGTCAATTATTGTAAGCCAAATATATCTATTTTTTTTTCTAAAACTGAAAATAATTTCAGTAATCATATCATAACTAAGATTTATAATAATCTAGCTGGTAATATGAAAGAAACAAAATACCATATTCATTTTCTCTGTAAATTAAATCCAATTTTATAAATTTTGCAGGAAAATAGGAATATTTGAAAGAAAATCTAGACGGAATTTAATCAGGCGTTTAGAACGTTCCGGAGACGCGGAAAATACATTTTCACATGCAAACTCATCTTAATATTTTGAAAGGATGAAAAGATGGCTGAGTTTGAACGAGTTTTCAAGAAAAATCTTGTAAAAGCTTTGAAATATAATCAAGCGCGCTTTCATATGTCTTGGTAAGCGGAAAATAGATTTTTCGCGCAGAGCGCGTAAATGAAAACGGGTCTTTAATCTCGTTAGCCAAAGTTCGCACCCTCGAGTCCCTTTGCTGGCTTTAGCGTGTCCTTCAAAGGGACCATCCCTACTATAGGTTATAAAAACCTGGTATAATTTTCGAAAATTCAGAGAAATGTTTGATATTATCTACCTATAACAGTATCTCTAAGATCCTTATAATATTTATGAAGTTAAAGAAAAAAGAGGTCATATGTGTATTAAGGATAATTTAGGACGAACGAGCAAAACTTATTAATATTAAAAAAAAAATTGGCGGAGCTTTCTTGTTATTGTAGCCCTAGCGTACACGAATGAATTCACAGAATGAATACAAGAATCTCTCACTTTATACATAACTCTCTAGACCATAAATTGATTCATATGCCCCTTTTGAGGCGAAATCTTGCTACACGTTTCTCGTAGCATGTAGGAATACCTTCCTTAACCGTATTACCTTAAAATACAAAATTCTTTGTTAAAACAATTTGAAATTAATTTTAAAAGCTTCAAAGTACTTTGATCTTTAAATACCAGTCTGTAGTTAATAGTTTTGTTCACAACTTTACGGTTCAAAAATTAATTTGTTATAAACCGAATAATTTATGTTCAGAGCGTGCCACGTGGCTTCACGGTGGAGCAGCTCAGGTTCAATTCCTGTGTGATGGTTGTAAACATACCAAAGTTATTGGAGTAGTGGTGGTGTTTGTATTGTAGTAGGGATCTGTCTTCAAATGGCTTACAAGTATAAAAAAGTTAGGCAATCATAAATTAACCTCCTGTAAGATTCTTAAAACTAATAGAGCTGCATTGTTACAAACGAATGATATACAAACGAACTTTGACATCTATCAGCAAAGTAACTTACCATTTAAATATATAAGACACATTATTATAACCTTTAATAACCTCATTTCATGTTTTATAAGTCACTTGTAAAATTTTTACGATTTTATATTTAGTTTATTTTTATACCAGTAGATGTACATATTCAGTGAGCACGGAAACTAAGAACGTCCTCGACGAAACATTGATTAGTGTACGAATAACTGGAACTATACAAAGACATTAGTTAATTCCATCAAATTTTGTATAAATTTATTCAGATTACTGTCAGTGAATATATTCATTCAACTCGATATTGTGTGACTCGTAGTGGAGCTCGTAGAGATCCGGCGACCGTCGTAGTCGGGGCTACGAAGCTACGAGGGGTCGTACGCTACAGCGTAGGGTCGTAGAATGTCTGAGGCTGAATGATAGTGACGCCCTCGAGAGCTTATCGAGGTTTCAAAAATTGATTTACATTGTTCAACGCATTCCAAAGATAAGAAAAGAAAATTTAATTGAATGTTTGTTTATAAGTCTAAAAGTAAATCAGCGTAGGTCGTCCACTTGTCATCATCTACGCCTTCTAGTTTATATGTTTAAGAATCAATGCTTGAATATTTATTAGCATTACGATTTCGAGACACTTGGGATTCAAATACTGTAATAAACTCCCATTTATCTATAGACATAATCCCATGACTAGTACACAATGTGTAGTGTAACGAGCCGCATGTTGCCCGACCGCGCGACCTTAACTCTATCATACTTGTATTGTTTCTCTAATGTTATTTTAGAAGGTTTTCTTATCAATTTTGACAACACGAGGGAAATATGTTAAGCGTAGGGAAGGCAGTAATCGGTGAAGGAAATAGGAGGTATAATTTGGCTAAATTATCTATAGTGGGATATAATCAGTTATTATGGAAATTATTTATTTTAACATAAAAGTCAAGTAATATTTAAAAGTCTTAATCGGCAAAAACATTTCACACAATTTGAATGGCCTTGGCTACTCGATGAGAAAACCACAAGATTAGAAGCGTCCATGACGTACATCAACAATATTTTAGAAGAGTCATATAAATGGCTATGGCCTAGTCTTATCTCTGGCTTATCTACTGGCAACTGTAGTCTCTTATCATAGCTCTTTATTCATTACAAAGAAAAGGAAATTAAAGGAAATACATTAACCATCACCTTAAACCATTTCAACAATGTGAATGAAACCGAGTTCGTCATCATGTTCGTCTCCCTTAGAGACATGATCGTTTTACGTATTTAAAAGTGTGCGTTGTGTAGTGAATAATTTTCAGTCGATAGGATTTTTTTTATGGTAATTAACTATTTTCCGTACAGGTTTTAAAAATATTTTTTTAATACAATTAATAGATACTTAACTTTCTTTGGGAAATGACATTGCTCTACCGTTCATAATTACTGAGCTTTCAATAAGTTAATTGTTTCACAACATTGTCGTAATACGTAGGAGATTAATGAATAGGGTCCGTGAAAAAAATCACTACCTATTTTATTATCCATCTTAACTTTTGAAAGGCAAAGCTAATAGGCAAAATGTAAGTATGTGTAAGGTTTGCATAAGTATTTATTTCCAGGCAATGGAAATAAATACTTATGCAAACCTACCCTAGATGGGTTATATTTACCTACATTACTTTTACTATTACTAGTATTACACTACTTTAATTAATTACATAACATTTACACATACTTACATTTTGCCAATATCATGAGCAATAGTGAATATACTATGTGTTTAGAACTGGCGATTCTACGTCTATGAAATTTACATCTTCTAATAAACTACGTATATCGTAATATGATACAGTGTGTAGAGTCCGGGTTCTAATAGATATGACGATCATTGTAGTTGACCGTCATGACGTAGGTTAACCGTGGAGTAAGTTAGTACCGATTACTCTGAATAATTAATTGTTCAATATGTGACGAATAACTTTTATAACGCTTTAACTTTGATAAGGAATAATATTTTAGTTTAAACTTTAGTAATAAGATCAAAATGTAAACGTGTTTAAGCTGTCCGGAATTTACAAAAAGTAGGAAAGTCTGATGTGATCCAGTAAGGATTTATGTATATCCTATTCATTCTTTTCGAGAAGTAGCCAGTCTTGAAAAAATAGTAAATTGAGAATTTGACCTGGATTTAGGTCATTGACTTAGATTGGATCTCGAGCAAATTTTAATGAGGAGAGCAGTGGGGCCCCTGGCTCGTGTACGCCAAAAAGAAAACAAAAGTGTTTAGTGTCGGACCTTGGAGCGAGTGTCCAGTGTAATGAGTCGAGCAACCTTCGAGTCACAATCTGGAATGAGGCGCGGTATTATCGCAGCGAGGAAACGTGATCGTTAACCTATTTCACGACGACGGAATACTAGTGATGTGCACAGATGACGCGATGAATCGTTTGAATCTATTCACTGTGTGGGATTGGGAGCTCTATATAATAGCAGAATATATACATCATTTGAATCTATAGCGCTTTCTTAAATTTAGATTGGTTTAGTTAGGTGTTCCAAGACTTTTCTTTTTCTTTTTTGTCTCCACCTAATCCCCATAAGTGAGGTCGGCGCAGCGAACTTTTCTACTCCGTTCTCCTCTATCAGCCGTCATCTCAACACTCACTCCTCTTTCTCTCATATCGTCGTTTATGAACTCCAACTATGTTTTCTTCGATCGACTTCTTCCTCCTTTACTTTTACACTACCATTTTCATACATCTAGTCACATAAAGAAAAGAGGGAAGGACCTCTCATAAGTAATTAATTTCTCTGGCAGTTTTTGTTCTTCTAAATTTTTAGTTTCATTCTGTTTAAATATATTTATTTACTAATAAACAACTGCAATAGTTAGGATTCATTTTCAATACCTTAGAGTTCTCTTCCATACTTATTTTCCATAAAGCTATATTTGTATATTTTTTTAAGATATTGCACTATCTATGTCTTTCTCGATCCAATATATTTAAGACTCATTATTCAGCATATCTATATTACCATTCCTACCTATTCTGATGATGGCAAAGCGCACATAACACTGCAGTGCTCATCCACAATACAATACTCAAACGATAAAATTGGTTCAGGGTTCAAGTCGATCACTGTAAAGATGTGCTTGAAGGAGCCTCTTGTTCTGGTAGCCGTAAACATAGGAAGTCCATTAATCATCCAGCTCGATCAGGCAAATCCGACAGGTGAACGGAGCCGCACGTCACTAGAGGCGGCGGCCGCCCGCCCTGCAGCAGTCGCCGCCCACAGCCGCGCAGGCCGCACGCGTCCCCGCGCCGTGCTCCACCCGGTCGATCTAACAGAGGCCTATAAATTACATATCATTATGATTTTAACCGTATACCCTNACATAGGAAGTCCATTAATCATCCAGCTCGATCAGGCAAATCCGACAGGTGAACGGAGCCGCACGTCACTAGAGGCGGCGGCCGCCCGCCCTGCAGCAGTCGCCGCCCACAGCCGCGCAGGCCGCACGCGTCCCCGCGCCGTGCTCCACCCGGTCGATCTAACAGAGGCCTATAAATTACATATCATTATGATTTTAACCGTATACCCTTAGTTTTAAGGTGCAGTTTACATCGAATAGTGAGTGAGCGATTCGCTCTGTGAGACTTTTTTGTTTAGTTAAGCTCCTTAAACGTGTTTTGGAGGTCTTGTATCCCTTTTTGTGTTAGCCTTTTGTGCGTACTTGATGGGATATTTAAGTTCAATTCGATAATTAATTACTATCATGTTATTATTGTGGCGTGAAATTCTGTGAGTGAAATAATAACCTAGAACATGAAGAACTGATTGTAATCAAATCAAAATAATAATAAGTTCCCGGGTGTCAGTTAGAGTTTGGTAGAATGTTGTCTTGAGTACTGTGACTAAACATATTTCAATATTGACGGGTCATTAAATTCCAGCATGAACTTTTATTTGCCTACGTCGTCTGTTTAAAAAAAATACCATTAAATACTTACATAATTGAACTTAAAATAATACTATAATAAAAAATGAAAAAATGCCATTTTATGTAAATATGTTAAAATTAACCTATGAAGATGATAGTATAAATAAGTTAGATAAAAATTGTAGCAAAATAAACAAAAAATCATAATACATAAAAATAGGTGTTAATATGCATAGTTGTTCTGTATCAAAGTAAGCTCTAGCACCAGAATTTAAATAGAGCTGCAATCCTAAGGAAAGTCGGCGAAAGAAATTCAGTGAGCTTGAATTGACATGAAAGATTTATTTTTTCACAAATAAACAATGACTTAAATGCATAATATACAACAATACATCATAAACTGTGATATATTGTAATACTAATATGGAAAAAATTAGTATTAATACAGCTAGATAATAAAATGAAAAGACCGGGAGGGGGCGTCTCATTTCCGTCTTTATGACTATACCATCATGGATAAATTTTCCTTGACAATTCTCTAAATGACTAATGAATAGGTCGTGATAATAAAATGTCTAAATAGATCACCTATTTTCTTAATTCGAATCGCCGGCAACAAAAGTCTATTCATTATCGTTCCAGAGAGTCTCCACAAACCTTTAGATGTGTGTCCCTTCGTGTAGTTAGGGAGCGAGTTTACCGGGTGCTTAGTGACTATGTGAATCCAACATTGAAAATGGGGAACGGGAAACCAAAGTCGAAACGTGGTTGGAGATAATAATTATTCATTCCATTGAATTAAAGCTTCTGATAAATCTTGGTAGAAGAATGAGGCGGTATGCTTGTAATCAAGTCGCGGTTTGATGTCTCAAGTTGGTCTATATTTGTAGTTTAACATTGGGTGGGTCGGAGTCTCAACGTAGCCCCTTACCTCGAAACTCATAGTCGTAGTCATTCTTGCATTGGAACAACAACTGCCGTAAGTACTTAAGTGCTGGGCTGTAGAAATAATCGAGGCATCGATCCACGCGGGCTCAATACCCGACGGACCATCAGTAGTTTCAAAACAATCATTATTTTCATAAAAATGTACACTGTGCTGTTAGAACAATGTCGAATTGTTCGTTGGAACAAAACTGCTAATCGTAATAATACAATAATAGCTGGCGAGGAGATTACAATGTCGTAAATGTAAAATGTACTAGCGTGTACGCGTTAAAATTGTAATGGAATTCACGGCGCGATGTTAATATGAATGTAATCGGTCCAAATCTAGGCTTATGCACAGGCGGATCTAGTTATCCCTCGCGATTGGCTCGTAAGTTCAGTTTTCGACTCTACCGTGTTGTAGTTTACACTATATTATAAAACTGCTAATAAACTGATAATCTTCTATAACTGCATCCTCTCATTACTTCTTCCTTCCTGGACTAATAAAAATGCAATATTGTCATATGGCTCTGATATTTCCTGGAACCTCTGCTCATCCACAGCGACGCCTGGTGCTTCGTGAGCGCTTTAACATCTTATTTAAAGGGTTCTGACATTTGGAAAGAATCTGTGACGGTAGATGGTACTTAGTTTAGTTTTATTCTTTGTAATACCAAAATCTCCACTTTCCTTTAAGAAAAATAAACCAGGTACTTTCAATATAAACTGACCACCGCCCTCGGAGAGTTGGTCTGCCGTGAGCTTTACAACTCATTGGCCACTCATTGCAATGTACTAAATAATCGATAATATTTTAACCAGAACATCACTGTAAGCTTACATCTCTTGTTTATGAAGCCATAAAATCTATAATTGAAGCCAAATGTGTAAACAATTGTTGGTTAATTGAGTTCAACATAGCTCTACATATTAAATTGATTTGGGGAATTGTTTGTTTAAAATATTAAATATTTTTCTATAGCTGTAACTTCAGTAGTTGACCTGTAGCCACTCATTGTGATTACAAAGTTGATTTTACTTTTTTTTTTTTATTGCCCTTGTAGGTAGACGAGCATACGGCCCACCTGATGGTGAGTGGTTACCGTCGCCCATGGACTTCAGCAATGCCAGGGGCAGAGCCAAGCCGCTGCCTACCGTTTACCTTACTTTCTCTACTCTGTGAATAGGTTGGTTAGGTGTCACTTATTTTGTCCCGTTTTTATCGTCCCGTATTAAGTGTAGCAAAGGTATGTACATATGGACAAGAATACAGCACATCAAAATTTATAAGACATTTTTAAAATCAGCTTATCTCGCAAGCGGCGAGACAGCAATGCGTAGACCAAAAAGAAAAACCAACCCTATATCGTAGACATTAAGGATGAATTGCAAATGTGAAACAAAATTTGGTTTGAAAAAACACAAAGATGGAAAAACAATATTAAAAATTAATACAATTTAATTCAGAAGTAAAAAATAATAGATCTTTACTTATGGAGTTGAAATAGGAATTAAATTTAATGAAAATTAAATTAAAGGGACAAATTCATCACCCGAGAGGCAGTACAAAATGCCTATGAAAAATTTGCCGGCTTCCGTTCTGTACTATCTTCTTCTTCTAGGGCATTAAAAAATTACTACTGGGCCAACAGAGATTTATCGATAGGTTATGGTACATATTTTGATGGATAGAAATAAAATAAAAAGTATGAATAAAAAATTACTTTAACTTTACTAAACGACAATTTTATAGATAAAGACCCATATATTTAAAACTAGTTGTCCCTTATTGAAAACACTTTTACGGCTTAATTTCGCGATTTTTGTTTTATTATTTTAGACCTTACAAATAAGTAGAAATTTGAATAATGTGCTAAGTACCCTCTCTTTTATACATATAAAACAAAAAAGTTTATCAGTTCCCGGGTCTAACTATACTAGAAATATACATACAAATTGAAATATGTTGGGGGTTATTATTAACTGCGTTGTGATCACCTACAAGTCAACCTCACTGTAGCGGGGCAATAATGAGCTCTGCTTTGAAGAGTCGACCGGCTGTTGGACCAAAGCAATTTGCACTTCAGGCTTGTGCTTCTAAGCCGATATTGGTCGTTACGACCTGAAACTACCGCATTCGACACGTATTAATAAATCAAACGCACCGTGTTCTTAATTAATTTCTTTGTATATTTGACTCTACCATTTGTTTAGAATTACGAGTGAATAGTCAGTCCATTGTTTAGTCTGAATCTCGAATTTAGAGTGTTTCGCCGCCAAATCGCATTAACATCTGAGACTAAATACACGCAAATTACGTTGTAATATTCTTTTTGAACACCGTAGCTTTTTATCTGGTTCTTTCTGTTCTGGACCAAGCAACGGAAGACTTACCAGAAAATTCAATACGTTTAAAACAACAAACTGAACATAGGGTGTAGGATGTAGGAGAACAGCTTCCGAATCTAAACCAATGACGCATATTCATAAACAACACATATCGTAGTGTATCTTCCTCCGTATACGATCTATCAAATCGTGTTGTCTTTAAATTAGAACGTTTTAAATATTATTGCTGCAAAAATAGACTACAGTACCAACTGATGATGGTAGCGTAATTAAAATATATCAAAAGAAATCTTTAAACAATAAAACATAAATAAAAACATATGTTATGTAATTACATTCAATAATAATATATGTCGCACGCTCGCAGCCCGCGGTCTATTCTTTTGATAATAATATGAGTTTAGTGATGGACATGGTTTGGCATATCGACATCGATACTTGTACTTGCAGAAAAAGGAATAACAACTTGATTGATTTGTGAAAAAACGGACATCGCTCAGTTACACTGGCATAGTCTCTCAAGGCTTTCAGCTTAGGTAGGCAAAAAAAAACTATAAAACTCGCATATTTTTAGTAAATTAACGTTACGAACTAATCTTATTACTTTACCAATTTTTCTATGCAGCTCTAACAACAATACAGTTAGCTCTAACAACTTAGCTTTGTGGTATTGGTCGATATATGCTACTCTGTTAGAATCTTATAGAACAATGGAAGTCTGTTAAAATATATATAAGATATCGAAGAAATGTTTTCCATCCCTAAGAGAGTTCGCGATTGCTTGGACTCCGTCCAGGCGAGCGGGGTCGGGTCAATAAATATGTATGAGGCGGACATGTCATGTTTTATAAGGGAATATGTCGGCTGTGTGTACACCAGCGGCGATTGCGTGTTTGATTTTCTGGAATCTTTCAATGTTTATTTATAACAAAGAATAATTATCGTACCCCTGACAATCACTGATGTTCATGTGTCAGCATTGTGTCCTGTCAGCGTTGTGTGTTTAAATAAAATCGACTGGTATTAAAAATATGGTGTAGTTTGGAAATTGGCCACAATTACATTTAATTAGATAACGTTTTATATTGCCACGTGCTGGAATGTTGTTACCATCATTCGCAGATGCGACTGTTTACGAGAATTTTGTTCAAATCTCGTTTTAGTAAGAATATCTCACCACATTGGCTTTATCAAGTAACAGAGTTCAANGTGTTTAAATAAAATCGACTGGTATTAAAAATATGGTGTAGTTTGGAAATTGGCCACAATTACATTTAATTAGATAACGTTTTATATTGCCACGTGCTGGAATGTTGTTACCATCATTCGCAGATGCGACTGTTTACGAGAATTTTGTTCAAATCTCGTTTTAGTAAGAATATCTCACCACATTGGCTTTATCAAGTAACAGAGTTCAATTCCCGCGAAACTTGATATCTGGAAACGTGCCGAGGACGTGGTTAGGATGTTCATTTGAAAAGTGTTCCAGTTGAGGGCGCTTGATTTGAAGGCTGCTGTGGGGAAAAGGATTAGTACTTAGTTAGTATACGCTTCTGGTTGTATTCAATGTAATATTATAATCGCTTTAATGCAGTTTGTTGGTCCCCAATTACCGAAAAAACATACATTTACGAGTGAAACAATTTTGAGTTTTGCTTGTTTCGCCAAATATCTATTGTTTGTTTATTTAGATTTAAAAAAAATATCCGAATAACAAATAAGATATAATGTGATATTTAAGCTCTCAGCTAATTCAAAGTACGCGAATATGTCACTATATGTACATAATATATGTATGTATGTTTCACATATTCCCGTTTGAAGAGATAAAAAGTCTATAAATAAGAATACAAACATCAGAATCTGCAAATAAGTAATATTTTACACAAACTTCGTATCTGATCTTTAAGTTCTTCTAGACGAGGTTGTGAGTACTTTAAATTATGTTCGAGTACGTTCGTATGAAGTAACGAATTGCAGAATAAACTAAATAAATTATGTTTTAAAATCTCTCTCCCTCACTTCCTCAGTTAGCAAAGGTCGGGTTGCACCCCTTCGAAGCGAAGTGCTACAGTGAGGCGGAGTGCGCGTGCAGGCCGCTTGTCTCTCGCTCCATATATAATTCATTCCTTTGTCTTAAGCACGTGTAACACATGCGAGCCCCCACTCATACGAACAGGAAAGCTTTACAAATTAACTTAAAGTTAACTCAACTTCCTTTTACTAGTTTATGTTGGCAGATAAGTAATTTAATAACTTTTTTATTACTCTTGATGAGCTGATTAGATCACAGCCCACTCGGTGTTAAGTGAGTTCGCATTCTCAAATGTATAGTATAACTATACGATGGTGACTACCCCCGCAAGCACACAATACGTTCTAACGCCAGTCATTACGTAAATTATATTATGAATTTTATTGGTTTCTTGATTATCTAATCTTTCAACACATTCTGCGTGTTGCATAAACAGTAGTAGTAGTTATTCCGAAAAAATCGGTATCTGCTTCAGGATTTGAGTCTCATTGTAGTCCCGTCACCCGGTGGAAGCCAACCCGGTGTATAATTATTAGCTTCAGACGTATGTATGTTAGTATATAACGAAATCTTTGAACATGATTTTGACCCCCTTCAAAACGTCGGATTGACTCGAATTTTGGTATACTTATTAAGGACCGATGACAATTCATTATTAAAACAAATGAAAAAAAAATAAAAAAAATTTTTTAATTCACCTAAAAAGGAAAAAATAAATAATAGTTTAAAATAATACGCCTTTATAGAAAATCCAATAAAAACGGAAAATAAATTTTAATAAATTTGAATTAAAAATAGCTTAAGAAAAAATGATTTTATTGTAAAAAAAGCGTGAGGTGCATGGTATCAGTAGTTATAAATATTTTATGAACAGATATGAGTAGAAGGGCTATTTTGATAATATCCTGAAAAGAGCAGCACACGCTTTAAAAGCGTATTTTGTTAGTTTGTTTAAATTATTATTTATTATTAGTATTAAAATATGTAAATATTACAATTCGTAATTATACCACTCGGGAACGAGTTCGCGGCGAGAATTAAATGTATTTCCGATCGTCTGTATTAAATAATGTTTGATGTTGGAGAGGCGCCAGCGTGAAGTAGGCTGGGCCGAGCTTGTGTTTGTCTTTGGGCGGCTGCGGCTTGATATTGAGCCCGTATCGTTGCGAAAGTGTTACATCCCCGCACACCTGCACGCCGCGGTGACTCTGACTGTTGCGCTGTGGAGCTTAGGTTCGGTTCTCGGTCGGAATATTCCTGTAAAAGATATTCGACATTTTCTGAGCAGAATGACATGTCCTTCTTCCAAGCAGTTTTGAGGAGAGTACTCAGTGGCAAGAAGCGTCTTGACTGATCTGTCTATTTCTGATGTCCACAGGACACGATGACCACTCAACGTCGGTTTGGCCATGTGCCCGTCTGCCTACTAAGGCAACATAAATAAACTGGTCTGTGATTGAACTAAATTTTTCCTTTTGTGTTTCTGGCACTCATAGTACAGGAGAATATTCTGGTTTCACGATGCAGAACTATTTTTAAGCTATTGCATAGCTTTTATCGCGGGCTTTGAGCGCGGAGATCGAATCAAGAAATTCCGTAACGAAAATAAAACCTAACACCCCCACTCCGCCTACCATGTAGCTCGCGTTCAACACACTCACACGTTGCTCTTGTGTTTGTGAATAAGCGCGCACTGCATGCGCATCATGAAAAGAAAAGTTATGAGTGTGAAGGGGACATGTTTTGCTTTTGTTAATGTTTATGAATATGTGGTCTTATTTTATTATTGTTTTAATATTAAATTATTATTGTTTAATTATAATTGCATAAGTTGATGAAAAATGCTATGCAATAGCTTTACCGCAGTAGTCCCCGAGTGCCACACGTGTTTTGTTTTATTTGTCACCATAAGCCCTGTGAATAAGTTTATGTTTACAAACAAGCTAGAATGGTTAGAGTTTCAATTCAGTTTTATAAGATAATTAACGCTACGAAATCTCAGCTCGATGTTTCCGATGTAACATTTAAGCCTTGGAGGAGTTCGGTTAATACTCGATACTGATCCTTGGATGCTCGCCAGTGCTCACTGAAGCACCTACTCTGCTAAGGAATGAGCTGTCGGTAGCGGGTGTATCGTACATTTCTAGAATAATAATGGATATCGATTGACAAAAATCACGCTCTTAGCCCTATGTCATATTTATACGTCTGAGCCTACAGATGCAATAGATCTGTATGTAACATTTGGAGCAATAAAAAAAACGTAAATTTCATTATCTGTTTTGTTGCGAGCTCTCATTTGAATTAAAATAACAACACTAATGTTCTTTGAATTAGATGCATGTTGAGCTTAATTAATATTTTTTTTTATGTAAAACATTTCTGTCTGTTTCTTTTGTCACTTCACTTAGTTTACACTAGCGGCCCGCTCCGGCTCCGCTCGGGTGTTCAACAAAATTTTTATTTCAACGACGTTGTTTTATTTTTTTAAATAAAAGAACACTTATTGCGGCATAACTATAATAGTTAGACATATGCTGTCGCGACACTTTTTGTAAATAATAATGTGTTCTACAAAGTCGTAGTACATTATTTTATTCTATCATCAATAGTTTTCGCAGGGCACGCGGCTTAAAGAATATTTTCGGTAATTTTTTTACACCTTGGGTTACACTATTGGAGTTTTAGTAAGGATCCCTAATTTTTTTCAAAAAAGATTATGGCCTATGTTACTTGGGTATAGTGTAGCTTCCAAACAGTGAAATAATTTTTTAAATCGGTTCAGTAGTTTCAGAGCTTATTTAATACAAACAAACAAGCAAATCTTTCCTCTTTATAATATTAGTATGGACTAAATACTTATTAATCTGTACCAATTACAGAACAACTAGTTACAATCGCTAGTAACATAGTGACTGATAATACGACTAGATCACGCAGGTACGGTAAATTTATGTCTGAAGTTGGAAATTACACGACGCCGTACACGTGTCGGGTAATATCCTTGATACAACTTATAATGAGGGTGACGTGCCAATACTACGGTTAAAGTTTCGCCGTTTAGTTGAAGGTGGATTTTCATTTTGACTCAAGATACAAACTTCTTGTTGTTGCCCGCGACTGGTGGAGGTCATGTCAATAATGCGTAGACACGATCTTCCTACACATTTCTACATCAAACTACTCATAGGTTTTTTTGAATACATTAATAGATAAGCACGTGGCTGCCATAACGCGCTAGTGTATAAGTGACTACCGAAGACTGCGGAAATCATGAACTTGTAACTTCATACCCATCACAGCGAGATTTCCAGTTGTATAGTATAACGACTATTCCACCTATCAGCCGGAACCGGAGGTAGTCTGGTGGTACGTCCTGGTGGCCCCTGTCCGGCCTGACAAAAATACCACCGGTAATAAAGTGTAGCGTAAGATTGCGTTCTGATAAAGAAATACTTGTGGTTTTGACGTGAGGACCGCACGTAGACATGAGGGTAGAGTGATAAGTAGGTCGACGTTCGGTGGTTCAATTGAGGATAATGCTAGTCTCTCTGGCCATTATAATCAATAACCAACACGAAATAGAAAACAAGGAAATGTTAAATTCACATCTTCGTATTGTACCGTCACGTGCGAAAAAGTATCTTAAAGTTTTCCGTAACTAAAATAAAATAAAAGTCCCCAGTATTAGTATGGAAATTATACTGGCGTTAAAGAATCAGAAAAGGTTATTATGACGAAACATAATTTAACTTTGCAGACAGGTAGTAAGTAACACAGAACATAGGTAGTAAAATAAGTAGCTTTACAACGCTAATTAATTAAAAAAGAAAGAGTAATTGATAAATTATATTGTTGAAGTACAGACAGTTGTCGTCTATAGACGTCACAGAATACGATTACAGAGTCTATTACGAGTATAATATAATGTCTAACTACTTTAGGTTTAAAAAGTGTATCAAAATAAACTTAATTAAATTAGTGACCCAAAAGACTTGACGAATGACTGGCATTTATTAACTAATATTTACCGACAATTATTCTACCAAACGACTTAATTATTCACTTAAGACTGCAAAAAAAATAACTTTCATTAATAACTTAGTTTAATTCACGCCTAAATAATTCTTTTCCCAAACGAAGTATGACGTCTGCTCACAGATCGAATCACTTACATTAGCTGAGTTGACCATTTGAACAGTCGCGAACGTTCACCGAATCATAACCGTGCATTTCCATTTCAGTGCTCTAATTAGGTTGTGAAAGTTTCCTATACGTAGAGATATATAATCGAATAACTGCACAATATAATTGTTTAATGTTTACTAACATTTATAAAACTTTTTATAAACTTATATGCGTAGTGTTTTGACGTGTTTATAAAACTTTACGAATTGATAATGTCGCAAGCGCAACTGGGAAGTGTGTCCGAGAAAGTACAGGAAATAAATCGAAGGATGTCACAAGACATGTCCGAGTCTAGTAAGAAACAGGAGACTCCTAAGAAGGAGCCAACTCAGAACGGTACAGAGAAGGTTTTGCCGCAGGAAAAACCACTCAAAGAAGAAAAACCTAAACTCGATTATGGCAGGTTGAGTCAGGACAGCAAGAACCCGTTCTCACCGCATTTCTACCGCCGGCCGCACGGTCACTTCGAGATGGGTCCACGTGGTCTAGATTACTCCCCGCACAGGGTAGACGTGTCCAATAGACTCCGAGATTATGGACCTCAACGTTCCACTTCAATCCACGGCCACGAACTGACCGATGGGCCGATTAAGCCAGAATACCTAGGTCATCGAAGCCACTTCGGTAGTCAGATTACATCAGCTGGAATCAGTCATCCTGATGTGGTGTTTAGGCACGATTACTACGGTCAAGTTGGCTTTTCGCCCCCTAGAGCTTCCAGGTTTTCGTCTCAGGAGTACCTGAATATGCCTGCTCAATATGGACGATGGCCTGACTACAGAGCAGAGTATCGGCAGCGGCGTCGCTCACAGCAGGACCTGCACTCATTGGAACAAGGAACAGAGTCAGGTATTCATTAAAAATTCCTGTCAATATGTTTTAGAAGTGTTTGTCTACGTTATTTTAAGCCGACTGCCTGTTACTTTTAACTCTTACTGCTGTGAAGTTACTTTTTGAGTAGTTAGGTTACCTTCAGATTATTCATGTTTTTCTTTTTATTGATACAACCCGTACATGCTGTAGATTTAAAAATGGACCTAGCGATTAAACACCGTAATTGTAGTTTAATCTCATTTCTCAAGATCGATGTCGTTCAGGAGCTATGGACTTTATAACAGCTTAACATCAGGTGAGCTCTAAGCTGGTCTAAGGATTTCGAGAAGTAAAAAAAACAGATTTAAAGATGTAAACAGTATGTAATATTTAATTATTTATTAACAAACGGGGCCACTCGTTCATTATAACCCTAAACTATATAGCATTTGTATTTCGCTAGTTGCGTGCTGTTTCCCTTTACATAAATCAAGTAGACAATTAAACAAGTTACTTTGTGTACAATAATGTCGCACGAAATATTACAGAAATACGAATTAATTTGACACGGGAACTCGTTGGTGTAATTTCAACTGTTCACGTGCTAAAAGATAGGATGTGTCGTAAACGCGACTTTGAACTATATGTACTGGGCCAGAAGAATTATAATTCTTAACATCAAGTCAAGATATATTCAAAAATGTAGAATACTGTATGAGAAAATACATTCAGTATATTTGTATATTAAATCGGCGTTGTGATTAGTATCCGCATGCTATATGTACCGCAGGATTCATTTCAAAGTGTTCTTATTATTTGGACGTTAAATTAATATCTTTGAAACCAAACGGATTACAAAAACAAAATGTTTATCTAAACAATTAAGCTTTTGAAACACAAGATGTAATTAAAATAATGAACCGCACGAGACCATTACACTCGATATCATAATTGAGATAATTTCAATAGAACCTTTTCTCTAACTAAGCCTTCGTTCGGATAGGTCTTCATTGGTGTTCATTGATTAACGGTCCGTGAAGTGTAACACGAACGCTTACAAGTAATTGCGAATTGATGACGTTGTCAAGGACAATGAATACGACGACTAGCTTATTGAACTTGAAATGTTTATCAAATTAATTGTCAAACACGCAACTAAATTAAAAAAAACAGTAATATTTTAAAATTCTATTCTGTCCGTTGTATTCTCTGCTCATAAGACTGTTTGCGTAATGTTTATTTTTCTTTTATTCTTAGATGGGCGGACGAGCTCACAGCCCACTTGGTGTTAAGTGGTTACTGGAGCCCATTCTGCCGTGAAGCAGTAATGCGCTTCGGTTTGGAGGGTGAAGCAGCCGTTGTAACTATACTTGAAACCTTAGAACTTATATCTCAAGGTGGGTAGCGCATCTACGTTGTAGATGTCTGGGCTTCGGTAACCACTTAACACCGGATGGGCTGTGAGCTCGTCCACTCATCTAAGCAATAAAAGAAAAAAACCAATCCAATACTTACGTCTCCCTAAGTCATTAACTGCGTAGAGATATGAGGTCAAATTTCCCTTTTTTTTTATTGCTTAGATTTATTGCTATTTAATCATCTCTGGCTTGAAAAACTCCTAGGAAGGTGGTATAAACTCTTGAGTTCACGTTGTAGTGGTCTGGGCTCTGGTAACTAATGACTAACAGACGAGGCACCGGCTCTTCTGATCACTGTTGAATAAAAACAACATTTACCCACAATAGAACTCTTAAAGTAAAACATTATTCTTACAGTGTGACTTCACAAAGCTAAAGTATAATAATGTTCATAAAAATATATAAAGAAGTAAAAATTTCACAGAGATTATCCTCGTTCGCGATAACATCTTTTTGAAACATCAGTCTCATCACGAAATCCCATCTTTACGGCTTGTCAAAATTAATTTACAGCCTTCCCAGCTTGTGAAGGCATCCGATTTTAGAACAAGTAATACAATTTAAGGAAGATCCGAAATTTTGTCTGATCATAGTTTGAATAGAATTTTGTGGGAAGTTACAAAGTTATATTATTCCGTCCTTCTTCTGATTATATCGGATTGAAACTGATTATTAAGTTATTAATCCAGGTAACTTTTGAAATTGGATTAAAACCTGATTAATAATCTCTAATAATACTATTCTGATTTATTTCTTAGAAATAATTTTCTTGACATTATTATTATTCTTTTAATTTATTGATGCACAAAACTAATTACAATTATTACAGTACATTATAATAATATATTAGCCAAATCGTACAAGTAGTACTTAAATCTAATCTGGATTGCCATCTAAATTATATATGCACTCAGAAAACCTGTATTAATGTACATAGCTTTGGCTATTGAAAACAAAATTATAAATAGTTAAAAATAGCCTAGTGTAATTGACAACATTTGGCTTGTGCAACCACTGACATTGCTAATTTCATTCAAGATGGTAAAATTGAAGTTTTTACGTTTGTGTTGGTTTGAATAAAATGCAAGACCAAAACAAATACTTTAATTTTATTTTAAATTTATCAGATTCATTTCAGAAGATTAAAAAACTCGGTGCAATTGTTCCGAATAAGTAGGACAGTCAGTTTAATTGTAATAAAGGCCAGAGAGCTACACAATAAGTTTTGTGAATGATTTTCTTAGCAGTTTAAAAATTGCAGTTTTTCGATTAACATTGACCTATTAATTCGAGGGTAGTCTGGGCTGCACCGAGGTCAACGACCTGCACCCCTCCTCTTCTATCGATCTCATTCATGCGTGCCTCGCTACCCCGTAAATTGTTCTAGGATTTCATATTTTTAATATGTATTGTACAAGGGTTAATTATAGGGTTGAAGAATGGATATTTTATTGATAATAAGGTTTCATTGTAATTAAGTGGTTTGATGTTCAGAGAAGCTTGCTTATTCAATTTGTTTTGTAAAAAGATGTTAATAAATTGTTTCACATCTAAATCTTCTCGTATAATTTAGTTCGTTAGGTAAACATTGCTTTTTATGAAATTTAATATTAAATCCCGATCAGTTTATTGACATGACCCTTTAGAATACCAGAAGTGCCAAGACCAGGATAGTTTTCCTGCTTTTTCGGTATTTCTGATAGCACACTTTTTTTATTGCTTCGATTGGTGGACGAGCTCACGGCCCACCTGGTGTTAAGTGGTTACTGGAGTTCATAGACATCTACGACGTAAATGCGCCACCCACTTACGCAAATTATAATTTTTGCGGGTTTGATTTTTATTATACAATGCTATTCCTTCATCATAGGAGTCAATCGTGAATATTTGTTGAGTACGTATTTCATTAGAACAATTGGTACCCGCCTGGGATCCGAAAACTGGTGGATCGCTATATACGAATGCACCGGACGTCTTATCCCTTAGGCCACGACGACTTCAGAAGTGTCAGGGACCTGGAATATCCCAGGATAGTTTTCCTGCTTTTTCGGTATTTCTGATAGTGTACTTACACGTAGTTAAGTGGGCATTTATGAACACACTGTTACATTACAATCTAACTTTTGCGTGATCATAGTTGGCATCAAACCAGCCAAACTAACCAGCTGACTAGCCTGCTGCCCAGGTGTGTCGTGTTCAGAGCTCATCGTTCGTAAACTTGATTTCAACGTCTTCCAGTATATGTTATTCTCGGCGGGCTCTGTGGCTCTGTGTTGGTAGGCATAACCAAGCGCTGTGATAATTCTTCAAAAGAATCCCAAGTTGAAAATATTTATTTCAAATTATTTTAAAATACATTTTTGTAAAATATTAGTTTCTTCTTGTTAACTCGTCCAGTTTGTGTTTCTACAATTTGTGGAAGTACCATTGCTTTTGCCATATTAATGAGTGATGGCAATCACCAGGTGGACCTAAAGCTCATCTGCCCTTCCTGTAAAACAGAAATACGTTACACGGAAAATAATATAGAGTCCGATGACTTGTATAGGCTTCGTAGTATAGTCTTTAATTAAAAGCTTTTCGAGTTTAATACAGTATTTATTAGATCAGAGAACAAGAGCAAAAAAGGAGTGAAATGACTCTTCCTTGTGTTAAGTTTGGTCGTTTCTAGAATATTCTTTAACATAAAGCACATTACATTGATTTATTACGCAGCGCTGCCGGCCGCGTGACTCTACACCAACACCAAGTTTGGCCGTTAAGATGTTTATCAGTCGAGCGGTTAATGGCTAGACCAGACCGGCCTGTGGTACGGTACTGTGGTAGTTTGATAGCAATTGATCACAGAGCCTTATGGCGTGGGTTTTTAAATCATAAGACGATCCGTAGAGCTAGGAACTGTCCAACGGCCAGGGCAATTGCGCTGTTAAACAAATTTCTGTCCGAAATCCAGGATGCTGACATATTTGCCGATAGTTGCGGAATACTTTATTCCAAAAAATGATATTTTTAGCATAATAATAGTACTTAATAATTTTAATCATGTTTTTTGTATTAACGAGTCAGGCGTTTTGTTGCAAATTGTAAGCCTGAGTTTGTATTGAATGAAATAAATAAATAAGCTGACGCTAGTTCGTGGTCTGTTCTGTTCACTTTCCGATCTCTCTCAATCTCCTTCTATCGTAAATCGGCTAATGAAGCTTGACCTTAGATTTACGATTAAAATGCTAAACCGAATGAAAATATAACATGTCAAAAATTGTAAACCAACATTTATTTTTTGGGTGAACGAGCTCACAGCCCACCTGGTGTTAAGTGGTTACTGGAGCCCATAGACATCTACAACGTAAATGCGCCACCCACTTCGAGATATAAGTTCTACGGTCTCAGTATGCTTACAACGGCTACCCCACCCTTCGAACCGAAACGCATTACTGCTTCACGGCGGAAATAGGCGGGGTGGTGGTACCTACCCGTGCGGACTCCCAAGAGGTCCTACCACCAGTGATTACGCAAATTATAATTTTTGCGGGTTTCATTTTTATCACACGATGTTATTCCTTCACCGTGGAAGTCAATCGTGAACATTTGTTGAGTACGTATTTCATTGGAAAAATT